AAAATGAAGCAGTTGTCTCTGACTCTCAAAGCTGGGGAAAAAAGTGCCCAAAAGTCCATTGACTCACAAAGGCAGGAGGAAAAGGCCTAGGATTTAAACCCTGGGGCTGAAACACACACACACACACAGACACAAAAATTCTGTTCTGCAGTAGGCGGATCTAGAAATATACGAGTTCTTCCTTGTTTACAATAAAGCAACTTATCTAATAGTGTTGAGTCTGTGAAGCTTCAGCTGTTAATTACTTTCTAAATGTGAAATTGGATTTCTTGACAGCTAAGATATATGACTGTGCCTGGTGTGAAGTCTGGCACAATAGGCAGCTTGTCAAGGCTGCACCCCAAGTTAAAGATGAGCTGTAGACTATATACAGCAGAAGTGGATCGCCTTTTAATGCCTGGTGGGAAATATACTTTCCCATATATAAATATCCTATATATATTTAGATCTTCAAGTGCTGCACAGAGTATAGCTGCTGACACTCTGGAAGAGCAAAGCTGAAATGTTTGGTTTGGATTTTCCCCTCATTTATTGGGAGTTCCATAAAAAAAATCTAGATAAAACCACTTTGTTTTACATACACAGGTTTACCTTGCTTTATGTGAATTTGGTTTATGTGCATTTCTATTATGCAACTGATTATTTTTATCCAAGAATTTGCTTTATGTAAAAAAAAAAAAAATCGCTATCATGCAATTTGTCCCAGGATAGTCTATTTGTGTCAAAGGTCTGGAAACATGCCAAAACAGCTTGAACATTTCCCCATCAAACCCCCTACTGCTCTCACTCACACATTTACCTTCGTATTGTGTGGTGGTTCTAGTTCTACATCCTGCCTCCCACTTACTTCCATGTCTGCAGTAGCTACTGCTGTTATTATGGGTCAACATAACCATTGATATCTTGTTCAACTCCCTTTCTGAAAATGAAAAGGATTTCTCTAACACTAGAAACACAGTTAAATATTTTATGTTGCACCACTTCTTCTTCGTTTTTCATGTCCTGAGCAATGAAGGGTGTGATCTTCTGACTGAAAGTGCCAATCCCAGCCCGTCGCGATTCGCTGGTGCCTCAGATGTCAGTTTGTAGTCGTTTTATTTCATCGTTCAATGGGTTGAGCTTTCCTGTGTTCATGCTGCTTACGTTTCATGTTCCTACATAATTCTGTCTTTGCAGCTTCGGATTTTCTTTTCCTGTATCGCAACATCAGCAACTAGATGTCCCGAAGGCTTTAATGTAGCCGCATCATAAACACCATTAGCACTCCGAAAGATCCTCAGCCCTTCCTCGGTAGCATGCTGAGTGCCATCCGACCTGAGGGGCCCATCATCTGGCACTATATTGTACTATTTTATATCTTCTGTGGTTTTCTTGGTAAAGGTACAGGAGCGGTTCACCATTATCTTCTCCCACACAATATGAATTGATGCCTTTGCCATTGCCGCTAAAGTGAGCATCTGCCTTTGGCATCTTCCTATGTTGCTGCTTGTTACAGGCACCTGCTTGCTTGAGCTGGGCAGCTGGGATGACCTGCACACCTTGGGCGACCCAGCTGGGAGTAGATACTCTGGGCATACACTCCCGACGTTCTGTGCTCATCCCTCCCAGGAACATCCCCACCACCACAATGAGGCAGCACAGCAGGACCTGGGGAGAGGGGAGATAGACTTAAGTTATCCTTAATTGTATGGTAATAAATAAAGTAGTATTGTGATGTGGGCTCAAGGTATGTAAAATCTGATAGACTATCACCAGTGACTTAGAACCGCCGCAATAGAGGCGGGATACAGGTTAGAAATGCAGGCAGCAAATTTTTCCAGAGGCAAAGATGGAAGGAGAGCAGTCTGACTCAGGCCCTCTAAGAGCAGTAGAATTCTATGGGGCCAACCCCTTAAGGAACAAAGATGTTTATTACTTTAACCTCCGTTGCAGGACAGTAATGGGAAAATAATGAAAACCACGTACTTTGAGCTCCCCTTAAACAAACTAACATTAGATGATGCTAAATATTTTAAAAAACCAGAATGCAAATTGAGAACAACTTGGGTTGCGACAAAAACCACCCCAAACTGTGCTAAGAATTCTCATTTAATAAGTTGGAAGGAAATGGCAGAGAGGATGAGAAGAATATCAATATATTTGGAGGGAATGGCCTTTTTAATAAAAAAGCAGTCATAAATAACTGTATTATTTCAATATCAATCAAATGTATTGATTGGGTGTGGATAAATTGCTTATAAATTTGTACATTTATACATATCCAGAAAGATTGTTGGATGTGAATAAAGAGGACAAAAAGAGAAAGTTTGGATTATGACCATTTCCTTGCTCCCCATTTTTTTGTTTTTTTCACTTGTATAGATGGAACTGTTTCCAAGGAGTTAGCAGCAGTTTTGTGACCTCTGGAAATAAAATTAAAACACATGCTACCTCAAATGAAGCTTGCTTCCTGGTGATCCCCAGTGAAAATCCCCTACATTTCAGTGTAGGTTTTTTTGGCAACAGTATAGAAATGGTATGCCTTTGCTTTCTGGATTTTTAAAAAAATTTCCATGTTACGTTCTTGGGATGTCTTACTGGTCTCCCATCCTGGTTTATATAGTTTTTCAAGATCAGCCAAGGTGGGCTGCTTTAATATTAGACTTATTTACCTCAAAGAGTTAAGATATGGATTTGCCACCATTGGAAAAGTAACACGTTAGACTGAAAGAAAACAAAAAGGAACAAATTCGTAGAAAATTGAATATTTTATTGATTTCTCTAGAAGGAATATGATATGCTTATACACAGTTATTGTTCAACAACCTGAAAATGAACTGACATTTAATATAATTTTCCTTGTAGAAAGTTTCTAGAAGTGATGCTATTATTAGCATAAGATTAATATGTGATACCTTTCATACATGTTTATGTTTTTGACTGAAGTTCCCTTTTTGCTATTTTGGAGAGTTTAAAAATATAGAAAGATAGTAAGTAAATAAAACCCTATATGTACTAGATTTCTTTAAAAAAAAAAAAGACATTGCTTCCTACTGAAAACAGCAGCTGGTTGTAGCACCAGTTAGAATATATAGATCCCTTATGAAGCAAACGTGCCAGTCTTTATTAGAGAGGTTAATATGTGTATGTACTCATGTAAATATCTGTATATGTATTTAATGAAACCTGGCAGACATGCACTTTTCATTCCTCCCACTCTCTGCTGTAAAAGGATACTTATGTTCTAATTTGTGCCAGAGACTCACACAAGCCAAATATAATATTCAGAAAAGAACTGCTCTTGGGTAGTTAAAGGGTTCCCAGCAATGCATTGTTCTGGGTTCCCTCTCCCACAATCTGTAGAAAGGAAAAGGTTGGAAGTAGCACTAGCAAACCATGGGAAATGATGAGTTAGACAATATGGTCTGGGCCCTCCATAAAATTCTAGAAATGAGACCAGGAGATTGCATGATTAAAAGCTACGTCTGAAAGCACTCTGTGTCCTTGGGTGCAAATGCTTTGATCTTATATTCCGATAAGTAAAGGCACCAGGTCTAGTCTGAAGGAAGCGGTCTCCATTTTCACAAAATAATTTTTCTTTTGTTGCTCCAGGGATTCAGGAAGCAATATTATGAGGTCTAGGAATGGAATCAAAAGCCCACAGAATGCATCTCAACTAACTACTGTACCAACAAGATGCTCTTTGCAGAAAAGGCAAGAGACACTGTTAAATACGTTGTCATAAACCGTATGCTGCAGGTTCCATATTCTGTTCCAATAGTATTTTGCAGAAAGTAATTTGGTACATCAAAAAGGATTGTTTTGTTCAATACTGTATCAGAAGAGATGTTCTTCTAACATTGCTTGGCCTTCAGCTGGCTTGAGAAAGCATCTCTTCCCGGACAGGAACAACTGTTATGGAGACTTCTTAATGATGTAGGTGGAACGTGCAGTTGCTTCTTTGTTTGGCCTTTCAGCACATGGGAACTGGGTGTGTTGATCTGCATTCAGAAAAGGTGTGTTTCTCTGAAGAAAGCCCAGCTTCTGCAGTGCTTCATCCCGAGCAGACCTTTGAGCGTTGGACAAAAGTCCTGCAGGCTTTATTACTCTTACAGCATCCTTCGCTGGTTCCTTGACAGGAGCAGAACTGCCAAGTTGGAGCAGGAAACGCGAGCGGAGTTCTTGAACATTGACTCCTGACTTCAGTATTGTGTCAAACTTCTTCAAGCGGGTGGGGTGAGAGTTGGCTGATCTAGGAGTATGTCTGGCTTGACAATAAAGGTCAGACCTTCTCCTCAAAGCGATTTCATCAGATTCCTCCGAAAGGGACTTGATCATTTTACTTTTAGAAACTGCTGGGCAAGGACCAGGTTTCAGCGGAGCAGTCTCCCCAAATTTACTTTGTTGTTGCGTGCTGCAGATGACACTATGTTGGCATTGGTCCTGAGAACCTGCATATACAATTGACATAGGCTCAGATTGTTAAAAATACGAAAAAGAGATTATAGGAAACACAGAGACAGGGTTGTTCATAAATTATTCTCTCTATCTAGGCATGGAAGATCATTCGTATGTTACATGACAACTGCAGTGGTGGTAGCTCTTCCAACATATGGAGGCAGAAAGCAGAGAGGTGATGACCAAGTTTCAAGTACTGACTGGAAATAGATGGTTACTGGTTTTAAATATACATAGAGAGGAGCACACATGCACACACATTGCAAGTGAAAAGTGGCAACTACAGTCTAAATGCTGGGAGAATCTGCGACAGATGACAAGAATAACACTGACATGGAAGAGCAGTGTAGTACCTCTGTCCTTTTGTTGGACAAAAGGCAGGAAAGTAGGTATTAGTTGTGCTGATTGAAATAAAGATGGCCAAATCATATTTGGGGGAACACTAAGTTTGCCATTCAGAGGCTTGCTCCACCAGCCAAATGGTTAAATTATGGTGCCCAGGGATCCACGTAAACAAATTACTATATAATTTTACCTAGAGATTCTTCCATTTTCTCATGACTCCACTCATCATCTTCTAGGATTTCCTTATCCAAGGTGTTGATTGTCTGAAGCAAGTACTCCAGGCATTCTTTCTCTTCTGGATTCAGTCCAGAAAGGAAATCTTCATCCTCTTTTGAGAAACCTTCAGGATTAAGTCCTGGAATCAACTAATGGCAAAATAAGAAGCGTTAGTACAAGAAATTTTCTCAAAGCTCAATTCATGTACCTGGCTGGTTGCAAGATGATGAGTCTAGGAAATATGGTAGTTGGAATTACTAATATTGGAACAGAATTTAAATATTAGGACAGTAATCCCCATCATGGTCCACTTTAGTAATATTTGTTATGGTTACTATATATGTCATAATCCCGACTTCCAACAAGTACTGTAAAATCAGCGGGGAAGCTGGCAGGAAGTTGCAAGTCCTGCTCATGACAAGCCCTTCCTTAGGCAGCTTGCAACCAGGCTGGCGGGGAGGGGAGGGTCATGGACAGCAGCCGCGGGGGTGGGTGCTGTGGTGCAGCAGGAGTGCAGGCAGGCAGGCAGAGGGGTGCTGTGGCCTGGCACAAATGCAGGCAGTTGGGGATGGGAGCTGCAGCCCAGTGTGAGTGTGGTCAGGCAGGTGAGGGAATGCTGTGGAGTGCAGGCAGGCACACAGGTGGGTGCTGCGGCATGGCATCAGTGCGGGCAGGGAGGTGGGTGCTGTAGCTTGGCATGAGCACAGCTGGGTGGGCAGGTGCTATGGAGTGCAGGCAGGGGGATGCCGCAGGTGGGTATGTGCTACAGAGTACGAGATCCCAGGGATCTCGTACTCTGTAGTGGGGTTCTTTAGGAGGAAAAGCAGTGGGAGAGGGAGTGACTTATGGGAGTGACTTGTGACCTCCCCTGCCGGGTTCCCCATTGACTTTGCTTGTTGGAAGCCAGCAGAGAAGATCACAAATGGTGATTGCGTGACTGTGGGACACTGCAACTGTTGTAAGTACAAACCGGTTGCCAAGTGCCCGAATTGCAATCGTGTAACTGAGGGGGTGCTGCAATGGCTGGAACTCTGAGGACCAGTTGTAAGTACTAATCATTCAGTGCCATCATAACTTTGAATGGTTGCTGCACGGGTGGTTGTAACCCAAGGACTACCTGAAAGGGGAGAGTATACAGCCTTGTCTCACTCTTTTGCCAACCTGGAGCCAGTCTGTTTCACCATATTCCACCCACACTGTGGCTTCCTGACCTGTATATAGGTTTCATATGAGGACAATGACATGTTCTTGGTTTCCTGTTTTTCTAAAGACATTCCACAGCTTGACATGATGAACACAATTGAAGATCTTTCTACAATTAATGAAGCACATACTGACTTTTTTTTTTGGTATTCTTTGGCTTTCTCAATTAACCAGAATGCATCAGCAATAATATCCTGTGTTCCTTGGCCTTTTCTAAAACCAGATTAAACATCTGGTATCTTTCTTTCCATGTATGGCTCTACTCTGTGTTGGATGATCCTAATGTGAAATTAAGGGTACAGGAAGTCCTCGGTTAACAACGTTAACTGAGACCGGAATTTCCATTGTGAAATGACGCTGTTGTAAACCGTGATGTCACATGACTGCATCACTTAGTGATGGCAATCCTAGCATTCCCTGTTGCCATTGTTAAGTGAGGATCGGAGGTCATTAAGCAAGTGCCAAGCAGCCTCCAAACAGGCCAGCAGGCAGGTAAGGTGCAAGGTGCGGTGCGAGATATGGTACAAACATGGTGGGGCTGGAGACGGCTGGTGCTGGGCAAGGGAGGGTGGCCTGCAAGGCACGGCGTGAGCGCAGTGGGGCTGGGGGTGGCTGCTGCCAGGTGGGGGAGGGTGCGTGAGTGGCCCTGAGGCACGGCACAGCTGGGCTGGGGGTGGCTGCAAGCAATTCACTGGAGCAACTTACAACTTTCCCTGCTGGCTTCCCCATTGACTTTGCTTGTGCAAGCCAGCTGCCAAGTGTCCAGATCACAATCACATGACTACAGGGGTACCGGGAGGACCAGTCATAAGTACCACTTGTTCAGCGCTGTTGTAACTTCGAATGGTTGCTGAATCAGTGGTCGTTAAATGAGGACTATTTGTACTGTATGATAGTTGCATATTCTGTTCAGTCTCCTATTTTGATATTGGTATGTGGACTTACTTCTTCCAATTTGCTGGCCACTGTGTTGTTCTCCAGATTTTTTTTTTTTTTTACATTTTTATCCCACCCTTTTTTTTTATACAACTCAAGGTGGCAAACATACCAATACCCCTTCTTCTTCCTATTTTCCCCACAACAACCACTCTATGACATGAGTTGGGCTGAGAGTGACTGGCCCAAAGTCACCCAGCTGGTTTTTCATGCCTAAGGCGGAACTAGAACTCACAGTGTCCTGGTTTCTAGGCCAGCATCTTAACCACTACACCATACTGGCTCTCTGCCAAACTGGCTCTCTATCTAATAAACTTGTTAGGATAGTTTGGTTAGAACCTTTACAGATTGTGTTATTATTGCTTGCCATACTTCTGTAGATACTTCATCAGTTCTTGTAGCTTTCTGATTTGGTAATGACCAGAGCGCTGACTTAATTTCATCTTCTAGTACTAGAACTTCTTATAAGTAGGGCAAATCTTCTAAGTTATCTTGGATGTTGACACCTCTAATGTACAGAATTTCAAAATACTCCTTCTGTCTTTGATATTCTTGGAATCGTTTACTAGATGTATTAGTAGTTGGCTACAAAGCAGAGGTCATATAACAGGATCCTGAGGCATGGGCCAGTCCTGGAGTAGCACAAACTTTGCATGTGGAAGTACTCTCATTTACTGATATCCTGGAGACTGCTGGCCTGCACCTATGTGTAGCTAACTGAATGAACATATTCAGACTGAGCAGAGATGGGGTCCATGCATACAGCCTGACTCCCTACTTTCCCCAGCATGACATGTTCTGAAGAGCTCTTTACATTGGCTTGAATGCAAGCATAGCTCTTCCCACAATCCAGCAGCCTAATAAAGCAAAGTCTTTGATTTTGTGGATCACTGTACTTAATTCAAGAAAATGCAGGTAGAGCTCCTCTTCAGACCTCTGTCTGGATGTGTGAGAGTGGGGAGGAAGAGGGTGGGGCTAGCACATACATTCCATTCTCTACCCAGGTAGAGCCTCCAAGCATTCAGTTGAATGCTTCAGCAGGGCTTGACTTCTACTTCCACACGTTCAGCACTGCAGCCTTGAACACTATCCTGTGCCCTCACCTCAGCCTCTGTCCCTGAGCTGGAAGAAGTCCCTTTGCTGCTGTCCCTTCCTTTTGAGACCTTATCACTGCTCATTTTGAGCTCTGGGCCCTATCAGTGTGGCCTTGGGCATGTACAACATGATGTTAGCCCTCCCAGGTAAACCAGACAGGAAACACCACTAGATGAGCTAATTCTACTTTATTGTAAAGCTGCATTAACAGAATCTTGCAAGTCTGAAAGTACAAATCTCCCGCCCTATTTACCACCTGAGAGGTTAGGGCGGGTCCTTCCTAAGTTCCTTTTTCGGGCCATTACTCTGTTGTGGACTCCTTTCTCTTTTATCTGGTCATTCCTAGGCGGCATCTCTTCCCCCTGTCTTCCAAGGTCACCCTCACATTCCATTACACATAAGTACTGTGCACCAGCACAACACAACTTCCAACTCATTGTGCAAGGATAGCACAGTGAACAGTTGTGTCAGGGCTGTACATGACAAATTGCATGCTCATTAGACTGCACTCCAGAGAACACAAAATAGGAACCCACAAAGCAGTCCCTACTCTGAACAGTGCTATAATAATTATAATTAAAATAATTATATTATAATAATTATAATAATAATAATAGATAGTTGGCTTTTATATAACCAGAAGATAGTATGACTACTTAGTGATTTCTTCCCTCATAGGAGAACTCTGTGGCAAACTTCTTTTGTGTCAACATAGGATTCCCCAAAGCACTGATTAACTGCTTTCTCTTTTATAAATAGCCACCACATTGGTGCATTCTGCACCTACTCCACCCCATGCATATAATTATCTCTGATTACCAATTTTTCTTCGGGGAAAAAAGCCAGTTATCATTGGACTTAGCTTTGAATGTGTATGGCAGCCTTCTGCCTACTTCCTTCTAGATACTTCAGAACTGCAGTTCCCAGAATTCCCTACCCAACTACAGCCTCAACACATTTGGAAGGTGCCAGTTTGATGTAGTGGTTAAGATACCAGGCTAGAAACCGGGAGACTGTGAGTTCTAGTCCTGCCTTGGGCACAAAGCCAGCTGGGTGACCTTGGGCCAGTCCCTCTCCCAACCCTAGGAAAAAGGCAATGGCAAACCACCTCTAAAAATCTTGTCAAGAAAACTGCAGGGACTCGTCCTGGCAGTCACCAGGAATCAACACTGACTAGAAGGCACAAAAGAAAAAGAAAAAGGGTGGCCACTTAGGCTAACCACAGCTAACACAAGGAATTGCTTGCTTGCCTTCAGACACTCACATTTCTACTCACTGATCAAAGGCTTTGCAGCACCTTCAGTCTTCATCTAGAGCTCACAAATCTGCTTTATGCCAAGTTAGACCATTAGTTTGGCAGAAGGTGCTTGGAAATGAATGTGGGGCTTTTTGCAGGTAAGGGAGATGCCGTGCTGCAGAGGTATGATCTCTCCTCAAAGACTATGGGTGGACTATGGACTCTTGCCTTACCCTGCTCTTTGGTACAACATCTCAGCCCACTGAGGGACAGTGGAAATCTGTTGCTGTAGCTCTGTGCCTAATATAAAGTTCCCGTGTCACCTTTGTATGGAGAGTTGCAGGGCAGAACTCCTGGTTCAGCCCTCATGTTTCTAAAGTCTGTCGTGTTTACGGAACTAACACATTTCTAGACCAGCTTTCAGGACAAAGACCAAGCAAAGGCTGCTTAAGTTCCCCAAGGTCGGAGTGACTTAGTTATTAGGCTTGAGATTGTAGCATTTTGAAATATGCACCTTCTAAGGCCTCTGTAGTGGGGGGTGGTCAAAAAAGTCAAGATGGTAGCTGTGACCATGTCATTGAAGCCCTGCCACTTCTTTTACATGGACTCCCTCCCATGGATGCCCTCACACTATTCCCCTGAAAAGCACTATCCAATAATAATAATTAGTCCTCATGAAAAGGTATTTTGAAAAGGAGAAGGGAAGTATGGATTTTGCTTGTACCTGCGATGTTTCTTCTTTCGGCATTTGCTCCATTGTGTGGTAGTTATTTCTTGCCTTCTCAGTAGTCTCCATTTCCAGTCCTCACAAAAACAGCTTCATTAAATCTACAGGTTACATGACAAAAGCCGTAACATTAGGGTTGAAATGCACAAAAACAGGACTCTATTTGAACAAAAGTCCAGCAACCCCCTTCCATATTCTTGACAGGAGAACTACATGGACATGGCTAGGAAGTCTCCAAGAGTCACAGGGAGGAACTCACCTTTATGGAAATAAAAGAATGGTGCGCTTAAGGACTCGGAGGTAGGTGAGCATCTGCCCTCAATGATTCAACAGCCTGGGCTATCTGTTCCCAAACAGCAGGCAGGCTAGCAAAGATATAAATAACCCAACACCTCTGAAGGTACCAGGCTTGGGTGGTCAGAGAAGAGGAACAAGATCAAATCCCAGTTCAGTTCTTTCACAGAGAGAAAACTCTTGATTCTATGAATAAAAGAGATGATGGGCATTGTGCAAAGCTATCTAGTGGGGGCTGGGAGAGGCACTGAAGAGAGCAGACATAAACCATCAAGGAATAGTGGTGAATCCGTTGGCAGCTTATCGCATAAGTGACAACTTGGCCCGGGTGAAGAGAAGTCTGGGAGAAAGCATTTCAGAGTATCACTCTGCCTTAACTCACTATAACTGAGGCTGAGAAATGCCCCTTACAGTTCCAAGATTCTCGATTTACTCCCGATTAGCATGAAAGGATCTTCCTGAAATCTTGGGCAGTTCTTCATTAATTTTGCCCATGGGCTTCCCTTATTGCAGACGACTCCATTCGCTTCACAGAATAAATGAGTTGGGACTGAATGTTCAACTGTTGTTTTGGAGGCTGCCCCCACCCTCATCTTCTTGAAAAGGAGGGAGTTGATGGTTTATTCTCTCCAGGGATGGAGAACAAATGTGAGCAAGGACTAACTCCCTCTCCCTGCCTTTAAAAAGAACTAAACTGGGCTGGCTGGCATTTTTATGCCTTTCCCTGATGTTCTGTGTGGTATGTTTTCCATTTTCCACCCAGAATCAATGGACATTGGATAAAGGAATCCATTCAACTGCAAACAGCAGCATAGAACTTCCTCCGCCTCTCACTGCCAAATTGGTGGATACGGTAGCTCTCTCCCTCTGCAGATTTCCCTGTAGCCAGAAAGATCCCCATGTTTAGACAACACACGTATCTTATATAGGTAGTCCCCAGTTTAAGAATGAGTTCCGTTCCCAAGGTCTGTCCCTAAGTCAAATTTGTATGTAAGCCAGAACAGTGTTATTGTATAATACTGTATAAGTAGTATTGTGTAATTAACTCGAAGCATTGTGTATTTAACTCAAATTTTGCTACAAAAGGCTCTGTTCTTAACTATGGGCCATCCTTAAACTGGGCATTCTTAACCCAGGGACTATCTGTAGTAACTTTCACGTTAGTTTTCTCTCACGTGTGACAGAAAGTGGGGAATATCTTTCTAAGGATGATGCTTGCTTTATGAATTCTTGCATGGAAAGAAATAAAATCTGCTGCCCTGTTGGTCAGGAACATCTTCTGCAGCATTAAATGTTTGGAAAATGTTATTAACAGAACCATTTTCCTGATAACACCACTGCCTAACTCAAAATTCAGTATACGTTACTGATCGGCTTCGTTGCTACTCTCAAAAGCTAACCCAGTAAAAAGGCTTTAAAATATTTCAAAACTTGACTTAAGACCGCTGTTTATAAATAGCATTGGCCAGGTTTCCTTTTGCCCTGGTCTGGTCTGGTCTGTATGCATGCATGCATTTATCAAATCTGTCACCACCCATCTTGTTGAAACGACTCTGGGCAGTTTACAACAAAGCTAAGATTCATTAAAATACAATATAAAACAGTCCTAATAATACACAGCTTCCAAGAAAGATGGAGAGTTGGCGAATATGCACCCCAGAAGGAGTGACTTAGAAGGAATCACCAAAGAACCGCGTTTGGACGGCAGAAGCATCACCTCACCCACGTGCCCTTCGAGGTTCCACCTATACAGGCCCTCTGGCTTGGGCAGAATGTCACAGAAACGCAAATCCCTCACTGGGCTCCTGCATCTGGCCCTAGATTCTCTGTTCTTGAGAACGGAGGCGTGGAGGCAAGGAGTCCTGACCGACGCTTTGCGTGCTCGCCTCCCGTCTTCAGAGGAGATGAGCGATGCGCGGGGCCGAGCAGAGCACTCTTTGTTTGGACTATAACCAATTTGCAAACAGGAATCACTTCCTTGTAGCATCCAGATTGTACCAACAAACGAAAGTCCTCCCCTGCCCTGCAGCTCCGGCTCTTTCAAAAACAAAGGTCTCTTCAAGCCTTCCTACCAGCCTGATAAGTTTCAGTGCCCCAAAAGAGAAGGGAGCTTTCTCTAAACCAGGACCCTCCCTCCAGATAGGTTGGACTACAACTCCCATAATGCCTGCCAGCATTTTTCTGCTGAGTGCGCCCCTGTATAATATGATAAGGAAGTATGAGCAGCTATCATTGGAGCACCCACCGTATCTAGTGAGGGATGAAACCCATTATGACTCAGACCAAGCAACGAGATTGGTCCTTTCGACAATGTGACAGTGGAATAAGGCTACCATGTAGAAGGAGCATGGGCTACTGCTTTTCGGTCATTTAAAGGTAAGATGCTCTCAAGTTGGGTTTGACTCGTACTGACTCCATGAGCACAACCCTGCTGTTTTCTTGGCAACAGTATGATACTGCTTGCCCCTGCCTTCTTCCAGAATCTATTTTGACTCTCTGGTTTAGCCTACAGCTGTGGGATCACCAGGTGGTCTCCCATCCAGGTTCTAGCCAGGCCAGCTTCCATGCTGAGGTAAATTCAGCTGAGTGCTAGCTCCTGCTGGGATAAAATTCACTGCCTCCAATTAGAAAGCCATTTCTAAAGAAGAGATGTAAAAGAGACGATAAACAAAATTATTGTGTAAAGCTACACATTCAGATCATTAAAAAAAAGGCAGCAGGAAGAACACTGTAACCACAACAGCTGCTGATGGAACAGCAAGAATTCATTTCAGGCCTGAGAGAAGAGAAGCTGGCGCCAAAATGGGACGGCTGCCTTCACACGACACAACGAACCCCACTGTAGCCCCGAGAACGAACCACTCCAGCAAGCTTGCCAGAAACCCAAGAGCTTCAGCTAAGTCGCGTTTCTGAAGAAAAACAGAAGCCACGCCAGCAACTTTCAACAACTGCTGCGGTTCAGGTCGAGAACAATCATGCAACATATAAGCCCAGTAAATAAATACCAATAAATAAATACACAGAAACCATGTTCAAGCCCTCTCGCATTTAGTTTTTCTTCCTGCCCTACGGGAAAGACTTTTGGGTCCGATCCTGTGAGTGGCCGGCTCTTCTCCATCCGTCCATCGTTTTTGCAATTGTCCAATCGGCCGTGCGTGAATTAATTCTTCCTCACAATTGTTGTGTGACGCGAACCTGCGTGTTTAGTTTCTGGCTGAGTGTGTGACGTGGACCCAGAACACTGGGATCATTTAACACAGAGATCCTGAACATTTTGGGGCCGTTAATGCTTTGGAAGCACGTTGGGGGCCCTCAAAGAAAATGGCTGCCACACAGATGGGCTTCCCCACGGACCAGAGGCCCTATTCTTGTCATGAAGGATAGGCCAGTCACAAAATACATGGGCAAATTTCCCTGCCACATTTCCTAACACTCCTCTTAGGATATTATCGATCAACTCTCAGCCTACCTTTGTCTTTTTTTTCAGGCTACAGCCCCCCGCCCACCATCTTTATTTTGTAACAATGCTCTTGAGGCTTAGGTTGAATCAGAAGGCATTCTTGGAGATAAAGTTGATAGTAGGGGCTGACACTTGCCCTTGCAGCATACAGTATTTCTTTCCTTTCCATATTTAAGTTTAGGATTTTAAAAATAATACTAACTGGAATGAGGCAGGGGACCATGTGGGTTCCAAGGGAATGTCTATGAGAGCCAGGAGAAGTCAAAAGAAGTCAAGATGGTGGACCTTTGAAGCCCTTCTCGGTGCCTCACAAGGCTGTAAAAAAAGAAGCAGGGCTTTGATCTCACAATTGTGGCTGCCATCTTGACTCTTTTGCCCCCTCCGTAGACACCTGCATACCCTGGCAACCTTAGGATAGGCATTTTATGAAAACAGCTTCTAAGACTGGATGCCAACTGGAACTGAATAAGGAAGGAATTTCACAATCAGTATACCAGGATCAAAAGCACTTTTTTTTACTACATAGAGAATTGCTGGAAATGGGGCACCATCAAGAGTTTTTTCCCATTTAATGAATAATAATGATAATGTATTAAACTTGTATGCTGCTCGACTCTCAACAACTCTAAGCAGCTCACATCAACAGGGAGACACAAGGGAGAAGCCTGTATGTTAGAAATCCAGGTCTTAAACCATATAGAGCTTTTTATAGGTCACCCTAAATTACATCTCGAATTCAGCTCGGTTTGCATCCATTCCTGTTCCTCTGCTCCTTCATTTGCAAATACCCTTGTTAACTGCACAATGCATTTTCAGCTTAAAATTATTGCGGAAATGTAATTGTCCTCCCTTGTGGCATATACAAGTTTGCCATAAATAAATATCTAGCAGAAAAGCCTGTATTAATAACTGCCGCCTCGCCTGGAGAGCAGAATTATTACAGTAGCTGAGCATATGTAAGTGTTGGCTCCCAGGCAGAAGTACCAGATCTAGGATTTGGTAGGCCTACTCCAAAGTAAAGTATTTCTTTTCAAGAAATTAAAAATTCATATCCTAGAAATTAAAATGTTATACCCCAGCCTTTAGAATGGCTTACTACAGAAAAAATAAATAAAGCAAAACCCTTTACAGGAATATGAAAAAGGGATCAGCATAGCCAATAACAGCTTTTAGTTATGGGTAGTTCTAATCCCATACCCAGTTACCTGGGAGTAAGCCCCACTAGACTGCACGAAAACTCTTTTGAAAGAGACACGACTCCTTCAGCATAGTAAAGTAGTGAGAGTCTATTTTAAAAATCTCCTTTAAAGATAGTAACACAGGAACAAGATGAAGCAGTCCTTATTACTAGTCAAAAGCAAAAAGCAGGGAAATAAGCAAAACAAAGCAAAGGAGAACTGCCTGGGGTGAGATAACTTGATTTTTTCTTTTTAAAGGAGAGGCTTCTTGTTGCACCTTTCACAGTCCCACGGAAGAGGGGAGCTCACTTCCTTAAACTCCATCTTTTATACCAGGGGGTCTTCCACTTCGGAGGTCTTAAACATGTGAAATCCGTCTCACTTGGATGAACAGCAGCGGCCACTTCCAAAGTCAGATGTGCCCCTGCAGAAGAGGAAGTTGGCTGACTCACCTTGTGGGAAGCAGCCTAGAGAGTGTTTTCAGGATACAGCTTGTGAAATAGGTTGTACTGTAAAACTGCTATGTATATGATAAATGCCCCGAGGTGTTTTGTTTGCTTTAGTGAATAAAGAAACCTGTTGCCTTGATACTGCTCCCGGGCCTACAGCTCTAGAAAGTATGAATTTGTTCATGACTTCCTGGTTCACTTGACCGCAGCTCTCATGCAAGGTGATCTACCTGGAAGGGAGTCTCACGGAATTAAACGAGGGCTTGTTGATGTGAGGGTGGGGCTGAGAAGTCCATTTGATGTTGGTGTGGTATTTTGGAAGCTGCACTCAAAAAAGGGTAGCTGGCTACAAGAAGAAAAGTAGACAAACTCCAGGTCGATGTTTCTCAACCTTGGGGGATTTTAAGAGTGGGGGGGTTCGACCCCCCCGATACCCCCCCCCCCCG